GGGCACGATCACCGGGCGCCAGCGGCACCCGGCGAGGGGCACGCCGGTTTCGCACGACGCCGACCCTTCGAGCGGCTCAGGAGCACCCTGCTGCACAGAGAGCCTGGGGGAGCTGCCCCCGAGCTGCCTCCTGGCACACAAACCCTCATTTAAACTCTCATTTAAACTCTCCTGAACCAGAAGGTGTCTTTCCCCAAAGCCAGGAGCACTGGGAACCAGGCAGAAGCGTGGTGACAAGAGGGAAAGCTGAAGACAATTATTCTGGACTAGAACTCTCCCTGCAAGCTCTGGGGCATCACCTGGTTGTTTGGGCACTCAAGTATCAGTAGGAGAGATCGATCCAACGGAAGGGGGAAATCCAATCACTGACTTCACTACCTAATGGGTAGTGACAGGGAAAAGGGAGCCTGGAGGGGTGTGGTGAGGGGATGAAAGACCACAGCCGCAGATGGCTGCAACAGCAATTCCAGTTCGAAATAGGGAGAAGAGGACCCTCATGACTGCGCAGGCCCAGAGGGGTCAGGGACCCTCCGCCCTCAGCACACGTTCAGAACACAGGCCCTGAGCAATCCCACCGAATTCCCACGTCGCCTCCCTGCTCTGAACAAACCGGATGGCCTCTGAGGTTCCCTCCCAACCTAGATGCTTCTCTCTCGCTCTCCTTCCACCTCTGCTCTTCCAGCACCTTCCCTGACCACAGGAGCAAGGATTCCCAGGATAATCCATGCAGATGCCTTTTGGGACAGGAGGATGCACTATCTGCAGGGCAATGGGGCAGGAGGAGTGAGATCCTCTGGAAGCGATGTACGTCGCAGGTCAAGGACCCATCAACATCTGTGGATGGTGACAGCTAACGAGGCGTCAGGGTGAGTTTCCAGGGATGAGGAGGATATCCATGGACACGCCAGCCTCGCTGCCGAGGCACAGAGAGAACAGTTCAGTATCCCTGTTGCCAAAGAGGAACACAGCCCCTGCCCTCGGTGCAAGTGGGGAAAACTCAGGAGGCACAAACAGGACCCGGGGCAGGTGGGCAGACACAGCGGAGAGACCTTCCGGGGGAAGGCCAGCACAACCGCGGCACCGGGAGCGGGATCAACACTCACCTTGTCAAAGATCTCGCGCACGTTGGCTTCAGACTCGCCAAACCACATGGTCAGCAGTTCCGGCCCCTTGATGGAGATGAAGTTTGCCTGGCATTCGTTGGCAATGGCTTTGGCCAGCAGCGTCTTACCACAGCCGGGCGGCCCGTAGAACAGAACCCCTTTCGACGGGGTCATGCCAAATTTGAGGAACTTGTCTGGGTGCTCCACAGGATACTGAGGGAGAACAAAACCAACACCTCTGGCAATGACCCAGCACAGGCCCGCACCATAGAATCACGAAACTGCTGGGGTGGGAAGCGCCCTTCAGAGATCATTTAGTCCAGCCCCTCTGCCGCAGGCAGGGACGTCTTCTCCTACGTCACTTTTGTTCCTCCTCCCACCGGAAACACTACCTGAGATTTCAGGTGGGTTAAACACGAGATCCTGCCTGCTCAGTGCCGCTGGAGTTTTTACACAGACACTGGTTTGAGAAGAACCATAGCTAAATCGTAAAGCTGCCTTACACGATTTATTTACCTCTAAGAACCAGTCTAGGCAGTTTCCCAGCACACCTAACCCCAACTTCCCTCTGCCCTGCAGAAGCAAAAGGGAACAGCTCATTATCTGACCTGCTCGCTCTGCCCTCCAGAGACAGGCAAGGTGTCTGATGAGAGCAGTTACCCTCAGCAACGAGGTCAGAGACAGGTGATGATTTTAACATCTCAAGATTAGACTGAAAATTACATTATTTTATCCACAGACAGGATGTTTCTACAGTGCCAACAGAAAGCAGGAACATGTCGAACCCAAACCATCCCAAGGCAGCCACCACCAGGACTTCTCACAGACCGCTCAGGACTTTCTGTCCTGGCCTCTCCCTCTGTAGAAGGCTTTACGATTACGTTCCTGGGCTAATACTGGTGGGAAGCCCTTCAGAGGCTCTCTGTATGACAACCTTCATCCCCTTTCTGGCCCATAAAACCTACGTGTGTTGTCAGCAGTGGTCCTACTGCTGGTCTCCACTTACAAGAGGCAGAGCTGCTGCTGATTCTGCACACAGCACAACACCCACCCAAGACGACACTGCAGACTCAGCTAAGGAAAGCTTGGTGCTGCTTCCTAGCACCTTCCCTCCAAGTTCAAGCAAGATGGAACAGCATGGTACTTTTAGTCTACTGCTAGCAAATACTCCAAAACCACCTGCATTTACCCTGTTCACAGCCCAAACGGGAATCTGAAGAAGTTCTGGATTTTATTACTGTAATTTTTTTTCATACTGACTAGGCAAAAATCTGTTGGAAACCCTTACCTGTACAAGCTCCTGGAGTTCTCTCTTTACATCTTCTAGACCACCAATATCTTCCCAGGTAACTTGTGGCACCTCCACCACAGTCTCCCGAAGAGCAGAGGGGTTGCTCTGGCTCAGAGCCCACTGTCATTAGAAGAAACGGCATTACATGAATCCTAACAAATACCTTATGTCCGCTCGCTCCAGATAAGCAATCAGGCTTTGCACCCAAAAGAAAGAAGGGCAGTCCTGCATTACCCTGAAGTCATCCATGGTCACAGCCAGCGAGTTCATCACTTCAGCATCGATGGTTTCATCTTCCAGGTCGATGAGATCCATCTTCTTTCTGATAGCCTGAAGAGCAGCTTCTGAGCAAAGAGCAGCCAAGTCAGCACCAACATGGCCGTGGGTCTCGTTTGCCACCTGAAAGCAGAGCACTGACAGTGACTCACAGGGGTACAAGGGCAACGCAGGCTCCGGCTGAGCTGCAACAAAGCTCTGGAGGACAGCACACAGAATCACAGAACGGTTTGGGGTGGAAGGGACCTTAAACACCATCCAGTTCCAACCCCCCTGCCATGGGGGGGGGACAACTTCCACTAGGTCAGGCTGCTCAAAGCCTCATACAGCCCAGCCCCTAGGGATGTGTTCAACCCCCAGGGATGGAGCATCCAAAAGCTAAAATAGTTGTATGAGAAAATCAGCACCCTCTCCAGGAAGAATTTCTTCCTGATATCCAATCTAAACCTCCCCGCTTTTAATTTAAACCCATTACCCCTTGTCCTGTCACTACAGGCCCTTGTAAAAAGTCCCCCCAAGCTTCCTTGTAGCCCCTTCAGGTACTGGAAGGTGCTATAAGGTCTCCCCAGAGCCTTCTCTTCTCCAGGCTGAACAAGCCCAACTCTCTCAGCCTGTCCCCATAGCAGAGGGGCTCCAGCCCTCGGAGCATCTTTGTGGCCTCCTCTGGACTCACTCCAACCAGTCTATATCCTTCTGATATTGAGGGCTCCACAGCTGGATGCAGCACTCCAGGTGGGGTCTCACAAGAGCAGAGTAGAGGGGCAGAATCCCCTCCCTCGAACCTGCTGGCCACACTCCTCCTGATGCAGCACATCAGTGCTCTGCAGCACATGCAAGGCAAGTGCTACCACGAGTTTAACAAAGACACCGCTGTTCCACCTCCTGCCTGAGGTCAGTTCAGAGGGCGTGCAGAGAGAGGGCTGCAGCTCTTCATTCAGGACAGAGATGAGAGGAACCACTCAGTTACACGTGGTACCCAGTGTCACCGCAACGCTCGCCCAGCTCTGTGTGAGCTGTTCCAGGCACTTCTGAAGAGAATGCCACAGCAAACAAACCCAGGAGGACGGTGGGAAGGCACTTCCAGCCTGGTCTGATGTAGGTTTGTTTCATTCAGCCATGCCGTTCTTAACTAGCAAGTGGGGGTTTTTTGGTCACTCGTAAACTAGTCGGAAGGAAGCCCAAAGATCACACATTCGCTCAGTTTCCTACTGTCCTAAATGAGCACCTACATTCACGCAATCAAGCCTTAATAACTCTTCCGTTACAAAACGCAGCATCGGGATTGTCCGTCTGCAGAGACAAGCTCTCCTAACGGAGTGCTACTCACCTGTTCCAGATCCACATCATCAGCCAGCTTCATATTTTTCGTGTGGATCTGAAGGATCTCCAGGCGCCCGGTGGCGTCTGGGATACCGATATCTACCTCCCTGTCAAAACGACCTGGAGAGTACAAAACATACGGTTGAGCTGCTGACTCCGCAAACCAGAGGAGCTGCAGTCTTCCTCTGACTGGACAACATGATGGCAAGCCACAAACACACGCAGTTTCAGAAAATTCAAGAGCTTTGGGTTTCTCTGCACCGCAGCAGTCAGAGCAGAGGAGGAGGAAGGGCTTTTGCTGTTTAGGGAAAGCGAGACTTCTGCAGTAGCTAGAGTTCAGGACTATATGACACAGAGGACTGCTGCTTTAGTAACTTTTTCAGAGCCTCATTTGTAGGAAAATAGGCTTCCCCAAACCAACATACCACGATGCGTTTTTATTTCTGCCTTTGTGTCCTCAGCACAAGAGTCTGCAAATACTGAGAGATGAAATTTTTCATAACTTTCACAGCAGCACCACGTGGTGAAAAACATTAATTGTGCCAGTAGTTGCAGAGGCAAGAAACCTAAGTATTACTGCAGTATTAACTAAAGTACCGATCATTTGCCTCTAGCCGTAGCTGTGCATTCAAAATCCTCACTACACAATTAAGAGGCCATTTTCCCCTGCACACTTGACTTGTTTGCTTTTATAGACTTTTGCAGCTGGTCATACACCAGGGACTCATTGACACTGCAGAGTTTCAAAATACCCGAACCTCAGAAACTACTGGCCTTCTCATCAATAACAGAGAAATAGAATCAGAATCACAGAATGGTTTGGGTTGGAAGGGACCTCAAAGATCATCCAGTTCCAACCCCCCTGCTGTGGGTTCCAACACCTTCCATTAGGTCAGGCTGTTCCAAGCCTCATCCAGCCCGGCCTTGCACACTCCCACAGATGGGGCATCCACAGCTTCTCTGGGCAACCTGTTCCAGCCAATTCAGAACCTTCTGCAATTTAAGGCATGAACATCCCCTTAAGCATTTACTCCTTCAGCATGTCCTGAAATAGCTTCAACTAATAAGAGGTTAGCACACTTTTCCACTTCAAAGTACGTTTTTCTATTTCTCCAAGTTCTAACCTAATATGTCACAGAAAATAATGCCAAAGGCTGGAAGCCTAGAAATTAATTTCAAAGCAGCATATGGAGACATGTCAATAGTTTATGGAACACACAGATGATGTCTGGCATTAACCTCTGCTCAATCCTTCGACAGCCCCTAAAGCACAGCCTGTCACAAAGCATGTGATGCACAAAAGAGACTGCAGTCGTGGTTACCAAACCGCCTGAGCGCCGGGTCAATGCTGTTAGGTCTGTTGGTAGCTGCCATAACGATCACGTGCGCCCTCTGTTTCAGTCGGTCCATCAGAGTCAACAGCTGAGACACGACACTATGCTCCACCTCCCCATGTGTCTGCGGAGATGAGAAAGCAGGGGTCAGACCAAAAGCTCTACAGCCCACGAGCTAGGAGCTGCACTAGAGCAGACAGATGCTGTTAGGAAGCATCGTGAACTGGATCTGACCCTCCTCAGGTCCAACTGACATCAGGCGTTAAGCTGAACACTGCTTTACTCTGCAGTCAAAGGCAGCAACTGACACCAGCTGCTACCAAAGAGGATGTAGGGCTCTACCTCCCACAGCTTCTCCTCACCTTCTCTCTCTTAGGAGCGATGGCATCCAGTTCATCAATGAAGATGATGGCAGGGGCGTTCTTCTCCGCTTCTTCAAAGGCTTTCCTCAGGTTGCTCTCAGACTCCCCAGCCAGCTTGCTCATGATCTCAGGACCTAAAGAACAGCGGCACGGTGGCACCCAGAAGAGAGGCAGCTAGCCCCAGGGCACGCTGCTGCATTGGTTCAGTACGACGTTCACATGGGAGAATCTCTATTTCAAGCCAAAGCAAGTACTATCAACCGAGTTCACTAAATTTGCAGTTGAACAGGCAGGAACAGCATGCAAAATTACTCTCTATCGTTAATCTGGTGTTTCCAGCTTACTCTAACAGAACGCAGCGCTAGTCGATGAGCTACCTTTAGCTGCCTCTTTCCTTACCCTATTTCACACCTGGTGAGCTTCTCTGTAATGTGCCACCACACACTGTTAATGCCAGTCCTAGCTTGCAAGAGAAGCAATCTAATTATATGGTGACAAATTATCAGGGCAGGGAAGGAAAAAGCTCTGAGGTACGGAAGCTGCCTTTGGCGCACATTACACGGGTATGCATTTACCCCCGTTAGATCCTATAAACGAGTGCAGAAAACCCCAACAAAACCAAACCAAGAACACCCCCAAAAACCAAAACCACATCTCCTCTCACAGAGTAAATTTGAAAAGTGAATGTGTAAGCACATCAAGTCCCAGACAGTGGACAGCATTCCCAATTCCCGTGGTTGGTGAACGCTGGTGCAGGCTTACGGATTTATTCTGTCTTTACAGATTTCTCCATCACCCCGATATAAGTGGTATCAACAGGAAAATGTGCTTCCGAAAGAGCCAAGAAAAAGAAACCTGACCCTCAGGAGTGCAAAGCTGCTAGCTGACTGAAGTGTGCCAGCTGCAGGTACTAGGAGTGTTCCATCCCAGTAACTCACCAGTTCACACCAGCTCTATCGACACCAACTGCAGCTCCCGGCTCAGGACCAGCAGCCTGAGAATGCATCACTAGCTCTGACAATGTTATTTTTATTATGCAACAGAAGCACAAATGTCTAAAGGAATGGCTGGCTCATTCAGCGATGGCTTCCACACACTTGAGAAAGTGTACGACAAGGGTGACATATGGTTAGAACCTGCCCATGCGCACCTGCAGATACAAAGCAAGTCACTTCCCTACTGCTGGTCAGTGCTGTGCTATATACCCCTTTGCGACCACCTTCACAGGCCTACGCGACTGAAAATCAAAAAGCAAAGCAATGCTGCTGAAGTACTGATGTTCAGCTATCCCAGCACTGACTGTAAAACAGGACAGGAAAGCAGCGAGGAAAATTCAGAATCTGGTTCTTACTGGGTATGAGCCAGCAACCATCTCAGCTACTACAGGTGAGAGTTATGGAAAGGAGGTTCTGTCACCCGTAGCTAAGTCCCAAGGTACTCGTTACGGCTTTCAGGAGAGTGCCTCCCAATTAATGTTATGTGAAACAGAACGAGTCTTGTGGTTTACTGGAGTGGAAAGAAATCCACAGCAGACCAGCTCCCCTTCTGAATGAAACATGCTGGCAGCCACAGAAACAAGTGTCCTGCACCCATATACTCCGAATAATTTCACCACTTCAATCCCACCTCTGCCCTCACCAAGGTAAGTGAGCACCCAGACAGACAGACTGCAAGTACCTGCGTCGCAAAGCTGCCTTCCAACCACCCTGCTACAACACACTCCAGCGGAAGGGAAGTGCCACCGCGGACGCTTCCACACGAACAGCCTCCAGCTGTTCCCAGAGGCACACTTGAAAGAGGCAAGGAAGGATGTCACGGGGACAGCGTGGCTCTACACGCCCCATCGACACCGTTCCTTACCATGCAATGGGCGGATGAGCACACAGCAGAGCTGGGGGCAGCGCAGCCACAGAACTTACCGTTGATCAGAAAGAAAAAAGCCCCGGTCTCGTTGGCCACCGCTCGGGCAATCAGTGTTTTGCCAGTGCCAGGAGGACCGTAGAGCAGGATCCCGCGTGGAGGCTGAGGACAAAGGCACGGGATTTAGACGGCGAGCTGGAATCTGAACGCCTAAGTAGCTTCACGGCGCAATTGTAATCTTTTGATAAAACCAGTCCGAAGCTGTGATGCAAACTCAAGCAACAGCTGCCATCCTAGCACTGCTATCAACACCCTTGCTACAAAAACCCTGCCAGGAACTGACCGCTCACTCAAAGCGTTGCTCTGCTTTACAAGTTGCCGGTACTTTAACCTGTGTCCAGAACACGTAAGGAAATACTTTCCTAGCACCAGCATTAAAAAGCCCACCACAAACTGCCTTTTTGGCACCCCCCACTGCCTCGTAAACCCCTGAGATCACGGGTTACCTGTGAGGACAAGCCCACCAGGCCAGCCGGTGCCCAGGGCTTACCTTCACCCCGATGGCCTTGAAGAGCGCAGGGTGTCGGAGGGGAAGTTCCACCATCTCTTTGATTTGAGCCAGCTGCTTCCGGCAGCCACCAATGTCGTCATAGCCCACTTCGTTCAGTGACTCCTCTTCATCCTATCCGGAAGGAAATACAACGGGCATTTGACTAAAAACAATAGTTTAACAACCCCTCCCAATGAAGCCAGGAATACGGGTTTTTGCTCATAGCCATTTCTTGGCTGCCTTGAGATTATCGCTTACAAGTCTTCCTGGTGCCTTCTACAACCATTTCTCAGCTCCGTTGTCCCAGACATACGAAGGAAATTGCCTGCCCGTTCCTAGACCTCACTGAGCCCAAACCTCGCGAATGACAGCCTCTGCTGCTGGGTTCCCTGCAGACTCCAGCGCAGGACGAGCACTGAGACCCTCTGATGTGGCTAACACAAACAGCCACAGACGATGAAGCTCAGCATAAAATATACTTAATCCTTAAACTCTAAGTGCTATCTCTAACCTCATGACATACCCCTGCTACCATACCGTTCTCAGCTGTGAGAGTGCTGTCTTCTGGGATTGACAGAGAACGTTAAGATCCAGGCATGCAGATAACCCCAACTGTAACCAGCTCTTCAGTACAGCTCTACAGCATCCTTTCACTTGTCTGTCCCAATCTCTACTGCCCTTAGTTGTCATAGCCTGACTGGTTTGGGTTGGAAGGGGCCTTCCAACCCCCCTGCCATGGGCAGGGACACCTTCCACTAGGTCAGGCTGCTCAAAGCACCGCAGCCTGGGATCTTGGAGGGGCTCAGTCCAAGCCCCGCAGAAGGGAATTACTATGAGCAGGTCACTCCGGGTCTGGCCCTGTCAGGCACTGAAGGGCTCCAGGTTTGGAGATTCCTGCCCTCTCCAGGCCCTGCTCCAGGGTTGGGGGAAACCTTTTTCCTGGGAATCTCCCTTGACCCAGCTTATGCCACTCCAGACCTGTCCCTGGGCACAGCTCTCAGAAGAGCCGGTTCCCTTCCACCAGGCAGCTGCCAGCAAGGCCACCCCTTTGCCTCCCCTTCCGGCTGCATCAACCCACCCTCCCAGCCCCTCATCATTTTGGTATCTGCGGCTCAACTTGCTCCTAAATGTCCCCGCTGTGTCCTGAAGAGCCCAGACTGGACTCACCTGATGCAGTCTCACACGTGTCACACAGAGGTGTGTCTTTCCAGAAGGCAGCTCACCACAAACCAACACTTACCCTGATTTGCAGGCAGTAAAAAGGTGCTTTATGAAGTATGCAACCACCTTAGCTCCTTTCTGAGATTCCCTACTCTGTAACAGCAAGGTGGCCAAGACCTCAGACAAGCCACACAGGCTGCCTCAAGCCTGGGACGCTCAAAGCTACATACTGTATGGGACTGGGGCAGCAGAAAATAACTGGAAAATGACATTTGGGGCTTTCAAATTTCTCACTGAAAACGCAGGAATTGCTTTCTTTTCCCATGACATGAAATTCAGCAACATTGTAAGCCCCGCCTGCTATGGATCAAGGAACTTTAGAATTAAAAGACGCACCCAAGTCCAGCACATCTGGAAGCAGATGCAAAACCCGCCGCTGCCAGAGCGGGGCATCTCGTCAGAAAACCCAGGCACTGGCGCCATCCCAGCGTACGCCCAAGGACACACCTCTGACTACCTTCCGCAGGAGCACGTCTTCTGAAAACGGAGCTCCTAACCCTTACATTCAACACACAAAATGCCAAAACAGGAACTGCAGACGCTGCTGCTCTCGTGGGCTGTCACAGAAACAAGGTTTCGGATAGAGGGGATGGCAGGATTCTGCTCACCTCTCGTTTGATGGGTTCTCCTTCACAATGGATCACCGTGTCCGGAGCCACTATGCAATACGGACTTGGATCTGTCTCCACCACTTTGAACTCGACTGCGCGCATTCCTCCACGCACCAAGAAGATGTCACCTGTAAAACCCCACATTTCAGTAGCCTGTGGCAACCGAGGTCTGCAACCTCCAACCCCTGTACTACCGACAGCCAGAGGAGAAGGCAGTAGGTGGCACAGGCATACTGCTGGCATTTTTAACACTGCTCTGCGTTTTTAACTCCAGAGCTGCATGCACTGTGACTATCCCAGCACCATCTAGATCCACAGCAGTTAAAGTTCTCAAATTTCACCCAGAAACGAACAGCACACAGACTAGCAAACAATAGAAAATAATACTCTGCCTGAACACAAAGGCAAGGAATCACATTTCTTTTCCATTCAGTTTCAACTGAACATTTCTAAACCAGGCAAATAGCCCTACCTTAATAAAAATTCATTTTAAAGTTACTATAACTAGTTGTTACTAGTTACAACTGGTTGTTTCCCAAAGAATAGGTAATACTGCACTATTTCTCCTGCCTAAACTGGGCGACAGAAGCTGGACAACTTCAACTTGTGTTTATACTGTATTAGGACATATTTGTTCCATCAAAAGTGCTACCAGCACAACCCTAAACATGCATTTGGCTTTCTAGGCCCTCTCCCAGTTATTAATTAGGTTACTGTGACGAAGATAATTCAGTCAGGTTGCCAGCTGGTACATCCAACCAACTGATTAATGTGGCCAAGTCCCCAATTCCACCAAGCGGTGGCAACTTAGTTTAATGAGATTTTTCTCCTGCATTCTACGTGAGCCTTTTCTGGTGGTCTCCCACCTCACACAGCAAAAAACCCGCAGGAGAACTACCCAGCTGCTCTGCCATTTCTTCTGAAGATTAGGAAGAAATTAAACCAGCATCATTAAAATCCCACTCTACAGATGTCGGTCTAATGCTTCGCAGAGATCTGTACAAGCTTCTAGAAATTCAGCCCCAGGACTGGCTCACACTTGCTGCCGCCCAGACTTCTGTCACAGGTATCCTTACCTTTCCTGATGGGTCTGTACGCTTCCAGGAAGTACGGCTTGAGATAGACCTCAAACAGATTGCCCGTGATCCCTTCTACTGTGTCATCGATTGGCAGCACGTGGATACGTTTGCCGTATTTCACATCTGGGCAAGGCTGGATGCTGCAAGAGAAGAAGTCGACTCCAGTTAGCCACACCACGCTGGACGTACAAGGAAAAGGCAGCGGTGTCCTTTCCCAGGCCAGTACCAATGTCAGAAAGGACCCTCCCAAGGCCTTGGCGAGACCTCCCACCTGCATAAGAACACTTCAATGCTGACAAGGCAAAAATCACGCCCGTCAGGAGCTAATCTTCACAACACACACCCTCCTTCAGTCCTCTCAGCCCTATCCAAGGCCACTGGGGAGTTTCATACTTTCTTCCTACCCCCTGCTCTTCCGTAGCCCCCCTCACCACCCCCAAGGCACGTTCACAAGTTACTAATGCAGCCTGAAGACCCGTGAGAGTCATGAGCTAACCTGTGTTTCAACAAGGAGCTACTGCTGAAGCAGCTGCAAGGGAAAGGGAGCTGGGGGAAGCTCCGTTTTCCTTCATTTCTCTCTCATAATCTCCTCCAGAGAGGAGAGCCCCCAGCGCCGATAACCCTGATTCTGAGCAAAGGTTCTCACTGTACCAAGCAGGGGTAACCTGCTTGCAGAGAGGTGTCTGTCAGTCCCACTTTGTGGAGGCTGACATTTGAAGTCCTAAGGCTCCTTCCCCAACAGTTTCAGTTACTGTTTTGCAGTGTAGGCCAACAGCCTGCTGCAGTGACAGCCCAGAGTATCAAGCTGTGGCAGAAAGCTCTAACTGGCTTTGCCCACCAAGAGCCTACGTGGAACTGCAGCGGAGCAGGCGGCTTGTCCTACACGGCTTTGCTGGGGACCAGGGCACTTCCACCACAGGCTTTACAGAGAGGATACAGCAGAAGGGTAAAGGAAAAGACGGACTGCCCCAGAAGGAAAACAAACCAGACGCAAGAAGCGCTCGGTGCTTGAATCTGGATTTTGGCAAAAAGCAGACTAAGACAATAAGCAGCTAAAGATCATCAAGAAAAACTTGGAGGGCAAGAGGTGGAAAAATTCTCGCCTCTCTGGCACAGTCCCAGTAGAGACGGGGAGAGCACAGGCCGAACTGTCACACTAGAAACAACTTCAGCAGTGACCTCACATCAGGTTAAAGTAAGGATTCACCTTTATTTTAAATCCACAGACTGGCTCAAAGCACTGTTCTGTTCCAACTACAGCAGTGTTCAAAACTTGCATTTTCTAGTTGCAGAGGGGTGGGTGGAACATCTCATTCCTCTCCCCTGCAAAGCGTGTACGAACCACATCGTGCACTTGATGATTATTGCAGAGCTCACCCCAGGAAGCCTAGAGCCAGAAACCAGGCTCCGGTCGTCACAGAACGTGCAGGACATTCCAGATTAGGACAATGCTCAGGAGGAGGAGCTGTGAGCCCTCCCACATTTAATCCTGCAAACCAGCATTTTTACATTTAAGAAATGCTCACACGTCTCCCCCCACACTCACACTGAATGGCACCTGTCTCCCATAAGCCGAGATGTGGAAAGTAGGGAAAAGCACTGAAGTATACAAGCACTGCACAACAAAACTCCTACAACGTTTCTTAAGCATTCCTAACTATTTTTTTAAACAAAATTGGAAACAAACATCCTTCGGGGATTTTTAGCTTTGCTGTTTGACTGCTTCACAGTTTTGTGACTCTTTTCTAGCAAGTTTTAACTTCTGTTCGTCACAGGGCAGCTCAGATACTGCGAGATTAATTACAATACTGCCTAATGCCTTACACAGTTAACACTGTAAACATTACAAATTTAGACAAAAGTCACGAGTTCATCTGACAACGTAATTTTGGGAAGATTTGTGACAACAGTGGGGTAAACGAACCGCTTGTGAAGGTCCTGAAGAGACCTGAGGAATCGTTAGCACCATTTTTTAGTATCAATCTGAATATGCAGAGAGCCAGAACCCACGGAAACGTAAACAGAAGATCCCTGATGTAAGACACGCACTTGAAAACTCTTTTGTGATCTCCTCTGAAGGACGCAGGGATCCTTCCTGCAGACCCTGCCTCTGCTACTGACTCAGTCAATTCAGAGCCAGCACACAAATTATTCAGGCACCTCAGGGACAGCCAACAGTTAGCAAACGAGTCCTGACCTGATCACGTCACCCAGGCGCACCCTCAGGTTATTGCGAACAACCCTATTCATGCGAATCTTCTCGTCTGAGCAGGTATCATCTGACAGAACAATGCAGACTGCTTCCCTCCTCTTCTTTCCTTTTAGCAGAACAGTGTCTCCTCTGAACAGTTGCAATTCATCCATTTTTGCCTGTAAACAGCATTAGAATAAGCTTTTGACAAAACAACAACTCAAGCATTTGAAGGAGTGTTGGAGAATTACACCTTGGAAGGACGGAGGCTCCCACTACCCTGGCCGGGAGCTAAACCCGAAGCCGGACTAAGGGCACAAGCTCAGCTGAAGCCTGTAAGCCAGGAATCAAAATGTGTTTTACCACGGGACAAGACAACCCACCCCCCTCGCTGGTAACTGCTGCAGCTGCTGACACAAACACTTAGCCCCGCGTCGCAAAGTTTCGAGTTCATACACAGCCACAGCTTGCGAGTTACCAGATTAAGCGCTTTGCTTCTACAGATGACGCACCTGGGACAGTGACACAACACTGTTGTCTTCATTGATGGCTTCGTCAACAATTAACCGATTCGGCCTGTTCTTCTGCTTCAGAATAGCAGTCGATAAGTCATCCGCTTTAGAACTGGTGAAGAAAACAGAAATTACAGGTTTGAGTGATACCGCTCCCCCCTTTTCCAGCCACCCTGTCCCCCCGGTTTTCCTCTCCATTTTCTGCAGTTTCTTTGTTGTCTTGTCTTTCCAAAACAACACTTGTTTATAAGACAAAGAAGAATATTTTTCCCAGGCACCAGTTGCAGGAGTTCAAAGCACAATGTTTTCCGTCAGTAAATACTTTACTACCCTCCAATGGAAACAGCCATGAGGCCATCTGTGAAAAGAAGTGGTCTGTGAGATGTTGCTGACTGTAAGGTGTTTCGCCTAAAAGAATTAGTCAGACTCAT